TTTCTATTACCGCGTTGAAATTAATTTGTTGATCAATCACTTTTTGTTCTTTAATTTGGAGGCAGTCTTTTGAAAACCAAGATGATAGTTGATGGGTTTAATTTGTTGGTAAGTTTGTCTTGTGCCTCTTGGTTAGTATACTTAATTATCTCAAGAATAGACTGTGAAAAGGGCTTTGTGCCTTGTGCATTGATAAGGATAGACTGTGATAAGGCTTCACAATAGAATGTGCAGGTTACTTAAAAACCTCTCATTCTAGATGAAAACAAAATTACTCACTATCCTTCTTGATTGATTGCTCTATGACTACCTTTTGTGGTTTGGGGCTAAAGCAAAATCAAGTCTAGCATTTTGATGCTGCTTCTGCTTTTACTTAGTTAGCTCCAGGCGTCCACATAATTGAAGAGTAATTGAAAAGGTGCTACCAAGTATGCATCCTCTGTGTATAATCTTTTAGCTTTTCCCCTGATCCACTTTTTATTTTGCTTTCTGTACATCAGGTTTCTAGCTCAAAGTTAATATTTCCTTAATTACGAAGCATTTGGAATGCCATTAGAGAGTAAATGCTCTGAAAAGGTAGAGCACCTGCCAGTCATGCTAAAAAATGTTTCGAAGAAACTGTAAATAGTTGGATAAAAAGGCTAAATTTATATTGTTAAATACATGCTAGTTGTAGAGTTCAATCTTGCATTTTACAAATGAAAATGTTTCAGTCTTCCATTCTACCAATATGATGCACTGAACTTAGATATTATTACAGGATGCTTGGCCTATGATGGTTTTTGGACAATAACCATGTCTCTATAAATGAATAGATGAGATGGTGAGCTCACCTAGGTTACTTATACCAAAATTTATCTGGTTTGAGTGAACTGTGATTTTAATCCAATGGTTATCTGATGATCCAAGCAAGTATGATGATCCCAATCTCCAATTCAGGTGTGTAGTTAGGTAGATTGGCGAGCAGCTAGATGAGGTGGTTGTATGATGATCCTGAATTATGTATATTTAATGATGGATTGTATATATTCTTGTGAATTAGACTTGTAATGATAGTTTATATAATGCTCTTGTGCTTGTGATCAGATTTGAATTATATATATATATATATATATATGTGTGTGTGTGTGTTCTGGTCGAATTTGAATTGTAAATTTGAATTTTTTTTTACGGAAAATATACTATAGGGGTGGTTCTAGACTGAACCGCCCCTATAAACACGTATTATAGGAGCGGCTGGTACTACAACCGCCCCTACAAATCGATTTGTAAGGGCGGTCTGAGAACCGTCCCTATAAATACATTATTTGTAGAGACGGTATGGTAGGGGCGGCTGGCCGAGTGGCCTCTACGAACCATCGCCAGCCGCCCCTACAAATGCTTATTGTAGTAGTGACAGCAGTTAACTGGGCATCGACCGTTAGGGAAGAACAATTCTACTATAAACCCAATTTGAATATACTACAACTGGTGTATTAACTAAACGTGCATTGTGGCCACTGTAATATGTTACTTACTGATGAGATTAGCTGCTAACCTTTTATGTGTGACCTATGACGCTATACTACTTCTGGATCGTGAGCAGCTAGCTAATCGTGCATAAAGAAGGCTACCCAATCCAGAGGGATATCATTCTATAATGTATCCAAAGGCCATTACACACGTAACATATTTCACGGTATTGATATCCCAAGGGATTGCCACATGCTAGCAGCTTACTTTCGTGAGAGCCCGTACAGCTTCACATGCAGATCTTCGTTTAGGTTAGGTTCTAGGATGTGCTAAACAACGTTCAGGATTTGTTTGAAGGCATGCCATCGACCCACTGGCCACTGCGCATGCTTTCCACTCTACTTACTCACTTAGGTCAAAGCAATGTTGACAAAACCTCATCTCGTAGATGGAGGTTGCCTCGGATCTTTCGTTCCCATGACCCCATTGTGGGGTGCACTGGTAATATCAACACGCTATGATCCAAGCATTTGAGTGTGTAATAAGTCCGTTCCTGATGTAAGACCTGAATAAACACGTGCTTTCTTTCTTTCATCAGGCTATGGTGGAGGGTGTGCCACAGAAGGATGATGAATTCAAGATTCATCCAATGAACTTATCCTGAACTTCCTAAAGGGAGCCTTCTGCGGTGGCTACAAACCATGAAGGAGGGCGAATACGAGCATGGCTGCAAAACGTGCATTGCCTTTTTCATATGAGCATTTTGAACTGTTTTAGTGCATTGGATGAAAAAATTTACTGGTAGTCTAGACTATTGGCAAAAACGGTTTGTAGTAATGAATTCTTTTCTTAGAATCTGGACTATATAGACACTATCTATCTATATATGACCGTGTGTATTGCTTCACAATTTGGACTGTTGGGCACTGTGCGCTGGTAGGGCGCCGCGAAGTGCGCTTTCTTTTCTAGTTAGGTTAAAAGAGTCGAGGGGGTTTAGAACTGTTAAAAATCCTGTCAGTCAAAGCATCAGCACAAAATGATCAGTAGTATGTAGTCTAGGTTCAGTGAAAAAGATCAGTAGTCGAATGGTCACATCTCAATTTTGAAATTTGCAGGGAGCCTAATGAAATTCCAGGAGAGGGCAACCAAGCTGGGCTGGGGCTTCATATTATAGGCCTGCAATTCTGATGATCAAAGCTTCTGTGTTTGAACTTTGCAGATTTGAAGAAATAAGAGGCTTGGCTTTTTTTATGTACTTCATTGTATTGTTGTTGAGGGCTATCCCTGTGAGCTGTTAACTCAGCTGAAAGAAGCTAATTGTTCCTGTTCATCTCAGATGATGTATTGTATATTTAATCATTTATAGGTCTTTCCTAGAATTTTTATGTCTTTCCTAGATTTTTTATTTATTTTAATAGCAGCATTCGACACTATTAAGGCTTGTTCAGTAGGTTAGGATCGAGTCCTAGAACAATTTCCGGTTGGAATGATTCGCTAATTTGTATAATATTGATAAGACGGAATAGTTTCTAGCACTGTTCTAGGCTAACCGAACGGACCCTTAGTCGTTTGCATTACAGAATTAGCCTGCACTGCTATTTGGGTTGGTTTTGTTCTGATCTGGACACCTGGTGAGCAGCAACTTGTCCTATATCTACTCACAGGACATTCACTGGTATTAGACAGAAAAGGACTACATGTTCGTTTTGGATTAAAAAAAACTAGAATATTTTGTTACAATTATAGAGCCCCTCAACCATTCAGAATGTTAATAAAAATAGTTATTAAATTTTGGTATCAATAGCAGCTCAGAGTGACACCAGAGGAAACAGAAAAAAATCAAACTACAACTGATTTGAGTAGCATGGGAGTAAACGTAATAAGAAAATTGAAGGCTAGCTGAGTTGCGGGCAAATTGGTCATTTTAGCCAGTTGTTTAACGCCGTTTGAGCCCAAACACAGGTAGTAGCATGGAAGGAAAGAATGTTTGGTACAGTACCACAAAAGTCTCCCAAACTTTTTTAGTTGAACAGAAGAAATTATGATTTTTTTATAATGACTCACAGGTAAAAGACTCAAAAAGATTTGGCCAGTGTAAATACAAAGAAAGCATTAATATGAAACCATTATTGTTTCGCATACCAAAACCAGATGTAACCATCACAACACGTGACTATTTATTTGCAGTTTACATACATTATTAGACTTCTAAAGAGAGAATACAACAGGTAAACAGCTATGTAACATGCATGGTCTTGGGATCATAAATAAGTTGGCCATTCTGACCACAAAGTAAAATGTTAATTTTGTCACCATATGTTTCCATCATTACTGAAAATATTTGCCTAATTCCCATTTACAAAGTGCTAATTTACACCAGAAGATTCTGAATGTAGGTGGTCTGACTGCCATCAAACTGTTACATTCCAAACCTCTTAGTATCATCATATCATGCATGAAATTGTAACAGTTATTACATAATTTCAAGAGTAGTATCATACTGGTGCTCATATGTCATTGCATGCAACACTTGTACTGTTGTACATATTGAACCACAGATTCACAAGCCAGTGGCAGATGATGTTAGTGAATCTTCACAATAGTGGCAAACACATTCCACTCTCACCCACAAAATGCATTCACTGAGGAATCATTCACAGATTGAATCAATAACTGCCCACTGGTCAATCCACAAACAATATTCGGATGGAAGTACCATACCTGTTCGCAAAAGATAGACTAATGTAGTGAACAATTCAGGATAAAAATGCATTACTATACTAAATTGGAGTTATAGGTACTACTTAAACTGAGCCATCTGCTACTATAATTAAATCAACTTGGATGAAAACTTGGGTCCAGAAAGAGAAAATGTCTGGCAGTAAAATGTCATTCCTAGGCTTTACACTCACAGAGAAAAGAAGTTAAACAAGTGCTAATTGTGAAGTCAAATCATTAGGCTTTCACCTACACAGTGTCTGCAGATATTCTAATTGCCATATCACGAAAAACAAATTATTTTAAATGTCTCAGAATTCTGCAAGATGAGAGCATTAAAACAGCACTACGAATTTTCTTTTATTCTAATAAGGAAGAATAGGAAATTGAAAGTGACATAGAAGCATGTAAGGCTTTATGTCTCTTTCCTGAAACAAAGATATTTGGCTCCCTCCATGAAATGGACAAGAATAAGAGAAAATTGACCAAAATCCTACATGGTGCAAGCGGTAGAGTCTTACCGCCTGTGACCGGAAGGTCCCGGGTTCGAGTCGCAGTCTCCTCGCATTGCACAGGCGAGGGTAAGGCTTGTCACTAACACCCTTCCCCAGACCCCGCACAGAGCGGGAGCTCTCTGCACTGGGTACGCCCTGCATTGAACATCTAAACAATATTTTTCATTAGATGCCATTGTCCCTGCTTTCATGATATTTCTGCTTGGCTTTATATGGTTCAAAACAGCTCGATGGGCATCACATGATTAGCTTTTTGTCAGTTAAAAGAATGAATTCAATCCCTTTTTAATTATTATTTTTACTTTAATGTTATGCTCACTCCAAAGAGATTAGCTGTACATACCACAAGGTAAATATCAAGTCACACTGTCACAGTCTAGAGTACAAATAAAAAAAAGTTGCAAAGCCAGCACAATGTACTCTAAGACTCATTGCTCACCACCATTGAGGATCCTCCAGACCTTTTAAAAGCAGCTGTTGAAATGCAAAGTATTAGAGCATTCATGTAAAGAACACAAGGGAGGACAAGAAGGAGGAACAAGAAAGACCTTTCTGATAATTTAGGAAACAAAGTCTTGACAGCATTAATCATAATGTCAGCACTTTGCGTATCCTCCACTGCAGGAGCTATGGTAACAAAGAATACATCAACATACAAGTGTGATGAATGAACAAAGGCTATACGAAAAGAAAATGTTAACAATGGTTCATGTCTTCATGATGTACCTTGAGGACCTTGAGAAACAGAACCCCCTCGAAGATAACCTCTGGTGCATTCATCAACCTCCTTGGTATCTGCACGCAACGAACTTTCTATAATCTGTCCAATAAGCTTGTGGGCCATCACTGCAGTCTCATCACAAAGCTCATGGAGATCTTTAGAACAACTTGCTGTTTCCACACTAGCAACAGCCTTATTCAAATGAGAATCCATCATGCTAACAGCCGCTTCTGTGTTTCTAGAATGCCTAGAACTCACAACAGTAGTGTTGTGCAAGCTATTGGAACTGCATGGTTCATCAATATTTTGCTGAGGACAAAAATTGAAGTAATTGGTCTCTGTGAGTACAAAGTCATTGTCCTCTCTGCGGTCATCATGGTCTAAGTTTATAAGTTGATCATCACTTATGCATGCACTCCCTGAGTTCATTAACTGATCATTGATTGGGTCTCCAGCTACATCATAACATCCTATAGCTCTGAGATTGCTGCTCAAATTCAAGACAGACTCTACCTCTACTTCCTTTCTCTCTTCTGTGAGCATAGACATCCGATCAAAAAAAGCAATGACTTGCAATGCTTTCTCTGGTAATTTACCTTCATCGCATTCAAACAAACATTCTAACAGATACTTTCTCACAGTTATCCTGAACTTCGTGTGCTCTCTCTTTTCCTTAGAGCCATAACATAACATGGGACACAACAGTTTCAGTGTATCATGTCTCATCTTTTCTAGCGACCATAGAGCATTCATTACATCATTCTGCAAGGAGATAACATGCCTGGAAAATGGAAAGAACTCCAACAGTGAAATATCCATGCATTTCAATTCTTTCTTCCGGTATAGGTTCACCACGGACATGGCTTTTGCTAAATTCGTTGACAGTTCACAGCCTTCTCAAGCTTTGATATGATCTTATTGCACCTTCTATGTACCTTTTCAAAAATTCTTGCCTTGTGGAAGCTTGACATTCTAGCTCAAACCTTGGGGAACGTGATTTTCCTTTGAGCTTCCTCTTCATTGCAACAAGAGCTTGCAATGGCAATGCATCCAGTTCACCTAAAGCTTGGACCAATGATGAAAGCAGTCTTGGCTTAACTAGTGTTGCAAGGCTCATGCTGTCAGATAGATAACTTGACGGATTAGTTAAGATCTGGGATAGCTGATGATAGCTGTTATTTTCATTACCCAAATCAGCTAAGTAAGCTGGGAGGTTATTCTTTTTTAAGTTTTTTCATTCTTGGCCTAGTCTTCTCAAAACTATTCCTATTCTGGTTAACAATACAAGCCACTGAATGAAGAGCTTCAAGGCTAAGTTTGTTGATTGTATTGTGCACAAACTTCAAACTCTCCGGACTCAGAGAGCCATCCTTCTCCTTCTGCAATTTAAAAAGTTGCACACCATCCTGAAGTACATGGTGATTCCAGCCATTTTGTCACAAACCAAAACATCTCTCGACATGGATTCTAACTCTCTCACAGGACAGCTGAAAAAAGATATTTCTTAAATAAGATGCATAGCTAAGCTCATTTTACATACATGGATGTACACAAAACAACACAACTCAAGTAAATTACAAATGAAAGTAAGAGATTTCATCATAACAAATATGTTGTGTCCCAAACAGAAATAGTTCGCCATCAGACTACCCTATGATGCTGTGTGGATAATAAGAGAGAGAGAGAGAGAGAGAGAATAGAACAGAAAGGAATAGTAGCAATGGCAGGTATTTCAAAATGCCAGGCAAAGGGTGGCATGATGTACTTCACAAAGCACGCGAAATAGATCCCCAGCTGACACTTAAATGGATACAAAAGCTCATACCAGTTTCTATTTGCTACAGCAAGTAACAGGATAGGGAAATGCAAATATATACCTTACACGAATTACAGCCTATGTTATTTGGGCATTGCAGACTTACCTCATCCCCCCTGACATCTGATTCAGCCAAAAATCTGTAAAGCAGAGAAATGTAGTCTTTTTTTGTTACCAAAATACTGATGACTAGAGAGAAAGTTGAAGTGAGAAAACTGAGAGCACATAGATTATGGCATGGAGATTTTTCTTTAGCAAAGAAAGGCAGGTTAGGCCCCTGTTTGACATGGAGAGGGACACTAGCCACAATATGGCAGGGATAATTTTTCTCACAAAATATAGCACCCAAACGAATTGAGAAAACACCCCAATCGTCCCTTTTTTTCACCTTGTGAAGAAGCTAATCAGTACTAGAGCACAAAAAGTTTCACACTAAATATATGTATAGTCAGGCCCAGCTCCGACGGGGGTTGAGCGGTGCAGTTGCTCTGGGCCCCCAAAACCAAGGGGCCCTCCCCAGGTATGCACATTCTAGTATCAGGGCCTGGTCCAATAGTAGATTGACTAGTCACGGAGTTTTCAGACGGGCATCACAAATCCGGGATATCATTCTTCAATGCTTCCATCATCTCATCTTACTTGGCCCCACACGCCGCGAGAACAGATGTGGCAACACACAGCAACGCCCAAAATCCAATCCCCATCACACCAAGACACCCACGCCGCCACACGGCAACGCCTATGGTTCAGACGTCTAAGTCAGCGACACTGCGCTGCTGCATCGGACGCTTGCCGGTCTGGCAGTCTACGCCTAGCTAATTCTTATTACCGAAGTGATAGACCAGAAGATCATGAAATCCAGCAATCAAGTATTCAGGTGAAGCCGTAGGCCCGTGAAGTTGCATACTCATTACTTGTGAATCCATGAATTTCAGAATTTGGTGATTGATGAACATGCAGCAGAACATCGATTGAATGATTGATATTTGGCCAAGGACTATGTATAATTAGAAGGTACGTGTGTATAGACTACAGATAGGTCATGCCGTTTGGCTGGTTTTATCATAACTCTACGTACATAACAATTAGCTATAAATGATGACCAATACTATATTTTTGTTATTACAGTGCTTTTTTTATGACTAGTCCCATATAGACGGTAGGCCTTATTTTCTACCTCCTCTACCTAGTCTCACTTTTACTAATGAGGGAGAGAAGAGGGTTCTCCAGGACGGAAGACATCTCTCACTCGTACATATATGGATGGGGAGGCTACCTCTACAAGGGAAGAAACTGAGCAGCAGAGATTTTGGCAATAGCAAAGGGGATCCAAATGATTGAAGAACAAACAAACTGACAATCTAAATCCAGCTTTTGTTTGGGTCGTTGGACCTTCAGGCTTTGGGTTAGGTCATCAGGCTGACTGAATATTGTATAGGGATATATATTATTGGATTTGAAGGGCGGGCCTAGTGCAAGCGGTAGAGTCTTACCGCCTGTGACCGGAAGGTCCCGGGTTTGAGTCGCGGTCTCCTCGCATTGCACAGGCGAGAGTAAGACTTGCCACTAACACCCTTCCCCAGACCCCGCACAAAGCGGGAGCTCTCTGCACTGGGTACGCCCTTTATATATATTATTGGATTTGTGACTCTAGGTGGTAATAGGTAAGATTTCAATGAGTTAATCTAGAACCTTTGTATATCTGAGCAAATTTGAATTACTCATTGTTTCTTTAAATTTGAAGGGCGGGCCTGGTGCAAGCGGTAGAGTCTTACCGCCTGTGACCGGAAGGTCCCGGGTTCGAGTCGCCGTCTCCTCGCATTGCACAGGCGAGGGTAAGGCTTGCCACTGACACCCTTCCCCAGACCCCACACAGAGCGGGAGCTCTCTGCACTGGGTACGCCCTTTATTGTTTCTTTAAATTTCAACATTGTCACGTCATGTTAGAGTATGGCAGGGGCCTATTGGGCCTAGGCTGGATGTATAGCCCATTAGTGTTAGGGTTAATTAGAGATAAGGATCGCTTGCTTAGGAGTCAAGTAAACCTCTCTATATAAGAGAGGAGATGTATCAATCTAATCAAGCAAGAATTAAGAAGGAAATCCCTTCCCTCTTGCCCGGCCGTGGGCAAACACCCCGCGGCCGGCTCTCTCTCACCCTCACAGCCATAGGCGTGAACAGTACCCGCGGTACTACTGTAGTGCGTCAGCCGCCGTCGCTCCCCTCGACTCTCTCCTCTCAATCCTAGCAACCACATAACAATCTGGTATCAGAGATCTCTAGTTCGATCATGTGGTTTGATCATGTCCACCACGCCCATCAGTCGTCTTCGCCGGCTTCTTACACATATCGATCTCTGCGCCGCATTAGGCGCTACGTCGTCGTCGGGGCGATCGCGCCCTCTTCCCGCGCGCCGTCGTCTCCGCCGCCTCGTCCTCACCCCGGAGCGAGATGACGGCCGCAATCTCGAATTACGGCGGTAGCCGTGGCGGGCATCAAGGCCTTCCTCGCCCGACCACGGCGCGGCCATCTCGCATCAAGATGGGATGCCCTACGACGGATCACGCGACGACCTCGTTCCCGCCGCCGCCCGACGCCGTCGTTCCAGGACGTCAGTGCAACCGCCCGATTCCCATCCACTAGCCGTGGATGCCGCCTCTCTTCCGCCGATCCCGTCTTATGCTATGGCATCGACGATGGGGCGGTGTACACGATGGCGAACCACCACGGCGGCCACGACGACGGTCGCTCCAAATACCCACCACCGGCGTTGTTGTCCTTTCCGGTGGGCGAGCCTCCAAAGACCCATTCACCGATGGCATCTTCTATAGGGCGCCAAGGCGTCCGCCAGATCCAAGACGCGGCGAGAAGTCGCGGCAGATCAAGCAAACGACGGACATCGCGATGGAGCCGGGAAAGATGCTTACACACCGTGTGTCGGGTTTCCCCACGGGTGACGGGCATCTTTGTTTTTCTCACGGGCGGCGAACTCAAACTCTGCGGTGGGCGGCGGTTGGGGCGCGCCCCCTCGTCGTTCTCCGTCGAAAGCCATCCGCTTTTCTTTGTGCGGTGCAGACTAGCATCCGTCCGTGCGGGAGAAGGCATGGTGTCACCGGCGGGGGCGCGCATCGCCTAGCATCGCCGCTTTCCGCCACCGACCACACCGCGAGGGCGCCTTTCACGCCGTTGTTGCGACTACTTCTAGGTGGCCATATACATGCACCCCTTTCGTCAAGATGGTGTCCATGGGATCCAGGTGGTTGTCTACGTGCAACTTATGCGTCGGGCTGGTGTCCGCCATCAATTGAAGAAGCTGCAAAAATAAAGAGTTCACATCTATTTTCGGTTGATAATAATAAAATAAGCCGAGATGTAAAAGGCTTTGTTTTTAAGTGATAGGTTTGTGTTGAGACATCATTATAAGTTGGTTAGGTTGCAGCTCGAGGACGAGCTGCATGTCCAGGTGGGGTGTAGTGTTAGAGTATGGCAGGGGCCTATTAGGCTTGGGCTGGATATATAGCCCATTAGTGTTAGGGTTAATTAGAGATAAGGGTAGCTTGCTTAGGAGTCAAGTAAACCTTTCTATATAAGGAGAGAAGATGTATCAATCTAATCAAGCAAGAATTAAGAAGTAAATCCCTTCTCTCTTGCCCGGCCGTGGGCAAACGCCCCGCGGCCGGCTCTCTCTCACCCTCGCTGCCATAGACGTGAACAGTACCTGCGGTACTGTAGCACCACGGGTACTGTAGTGCGTCAACCGCCGTCGCTCCCTCGACTCTCTCCTCTCAATCCTAGCAGCCACATAACACGTCATCTAAAAGGTATGCATCCAACAGTGACAATGGGGACAAAATGGGAGAAAATGAGTTTATTGAATCACATGGAGAATCCATTTGTAATTGTTTGGGTAACCTTATTCATTGAGAATAAATTAATCGATGAGAGTGGTATTGATATCGGTGACTTTGCATATAGGAATGACAGAAAGCAGCAAGAAAATATCATTAAATTATTTTATATAAGTATTGCTTTTTGATGCATTTTAGGTGTTTGTTGATAGCATTATATTATTTCCTACTCCTAGGGAGTAGTTACTCCCATGTGTATATCTCTAGATTTAGGGCGTATATAGGCCGACGAAGTGTATGTATATATATATATATATATATATATATATATATATAAATAATTATGTTTATTTTAAGGGCCTCGGTTTAAGTTTTGCTCCAGGCCCCATAAGTCTCAGGAATCAGGACCAGCCCCGTGTATAGTTGCTAGTTCCATATCAATTTTCATCACGCACGCAGGAGAGTAGACTCACAATTGTTCCATGAACTCAGGTCTCTTCACACGCTTGACGCGTCCATCTTGTCCTTGAAGCATTGACAGCAGATATCTGCAACGCCAAATTCAATGATCAGCTGTAAATCAGGACTGCAAAAAGAATATACTAGTACAATTCTAAGAGTCGGCATCACGGGCTATAAAAAACAAACCTCCGTTTCTCAACGACCAAGGATTCATTTCGATGCACAAGCTCGCAGACTGTGTTGGCGTCCTCGACTGTGAAGTCCCGCGCCGCCTCCCAGCCTGTTAAATGAAAGAAAAAGGGAAAATATAAATAATCAGGAAGTTAGGAGAGAAGCAGCAGGCGGCAGGCGGCAAGTGATTCTTACCCCCCATTTCTCGAAACCCACGAATCCATGGGCCTGCAGCACCAAGCAGAAGCTGCGACCTGGCATCCATGGTTGCAGGAGAGGAATATTGCCGGCGCTATTGTGGACTGCTGAAACTGGAACTGGAAATCGCAGCTGCAGTTAGTTACCGATCTCTGCGTTATATAAGAAGCCTAAGTCGGAGCGCACAAGCAAAGCACCGGATGGTCATTTAGCTCAGGATAGGGAGTTGGGGACAAATCGATATTCTACTGCAACCACGCGCAAATCCAGCGAGCAATCTGGCAAGCAATTGATTGTCTCATTGTTTGGTGGATGGAGAAGCAGACAGGGACTAGAAACGAACCCGCGAGGTCAGCAGCAGAAGGACAGCCGGCGGCCGGTGACCGGCGCTCCGCTGAGCTTGACGGCGGCCGCCGCCGCCTCCTCGCGCACGGGGGAAGGTCGGTCCCTACTCCCTGAAGACCGAGCCGGCAAGCTTTGGTTAACGTGGTTTTAGTTTTTTTTTAGGGGATACCGTGGTTTTAGTTGGGCAACTTGGACCAAACAGGCGCAATATTTCAGGAGCCTGCTTGGTTTACGAAAAAATTAACATGCCAAAGTTAGGTGAAAAAAATTATCAAGTTGCTAAGTTTTAACAACAAATTAAATAATAGTCTAAAATAATAAAAAAACTGCTAATCTCCAGGCTCCTGAGAATCAGCCTTCTTTCATACGACGATTTTCAACCGTTCAATTAACATGCGACGGATCGCCCCCGCCGTCACCCACCGCCCTGCCACGGCATGGTAGGTCTCACCGGGGTGGAGCTCCGGCGAGACCCTAACGCGCCAGCGGCGGCCTCTCTCTTTCCCTCACTCGCCTCTCCCCCACCGCCGTCATCTTCTCCAACTCTGACGAGACTCCCCCTGCTCCGACCTGGCCCGGCCATCGTTCCTAGCACCAGGGCCCCTAAACCGCCCCGGTCACCATCCCACCGCCTGGCCTCCCTGTCTCCCTCAGGCCGATCCCTTCTGTAGCGCCGGAGTTGGAGAAGAAAGAGGGGGAGAGGCTCGTTGGAACCCTAACCACCATCGTCGTCGTCTCCAGTGGGCATAGATCCAGAAGGAGGAGGAGGTGGTAGAGGAGGAGGAGGAGGGCCGAAGCCAGACTTACCCGATACCGGTGAGGTCGTCGTCTCCGACTCAGCGAGGTCTCGCAGGAACCCTAGCCGTGGGCGCGGGTACTGGTTGAGCGCGGGCGCGGGTGTCACGAGCGTCGCGGGCGTCGCTTGAAGTGGACGGCGACTTCAGGCGCCTATAAGTAGGAAGCGTGCCAAAATAATGGCTTGCCAAATCTTTAGCTTGGCATATTTTAGAAGCCAACCAATCAAGTCATGTCCTGTATCCAAACACCATCCAGGCTATCAGGCAACCTAAAAACACCAAAAATGCACATGTGTTAGTTGTCTCTGGCATTCATGGTCCATCACAAAGAAACTGGGCTTAGGCCTATCCTACGTACGGTATTGGGCCTCTTTTTAACATGTTGCGACCTAGACTAGCCATTTGTATCTATCTATATCTCTTATAAAAATAAACCCCTCTAGCAATTCTATATAATCCCACAATGATCCACATCATCAACTAATATAAGCCATCTGATTTGCATAGTTAGTCCATCTGTTCATCTAGCCAGACCACCATGTGACCCATGCCCACATCCGAATAGAAAGAGAAACAAAAAGCCACATGACCTCTGCACACATGCCATTTCAATCCTCTCCAATATCTCATGTAACCAATGATTACTCATGCTCAAATTGCATATGCCTCTTGTCTGAATCACTCTTACAAAGATAAACACCACTAGCAATTCTATCTAATCCCACAGTGACCCACATCATCAATTAATATAAGCCATCTGATTTGCACCATCAGTTAATCCATCCAGTCATCTAGCCAGACCCATGTCCCAACAAGCAAGCCCACATCCAAAGAGAAAGGGAAACAAACAGCCGCATGACCTCTGCACACACACCATTCAATCCTCTACAATATCTCCTGTAACCGATGATTACTCGTGCTCTAATCGCTTATGCCTCTTGGTTTGAATCACCACGTCTGCTTGCAACCAACCAATCGTCATCGCTTCTCCTTCCAATCGCCTCCCTTTAAATTCTCCTTCGGCCTCATCTATTCACCTTCACTCTCCCTCAGTCACAAATAGTAGTGTCCGGGCAACATGCAAGGTCATCCATCATCGTCGAATCAGAAAAAGTGTAGGGTTCTATCCATCAGGAGATGACAGCAAGCCACCGCATCAGCTAACGTTTTGCTGTGAGATCCCGTGCAGGCTCGTCATGCATGGTCTCTGTTCCACATGCAATGGCTGGCATGAGAACCCTGCCATGAAGCCTCACCATGACCTTCGATGGCCGCTCACCATCCACATGGATGTCGTAGGCTGAGCTTGAGCTACACCTGTTTGCTCTGGATACGAGAGGACACTACTACATAACGAGTAATCACCGCCGCCACTTTCACCATCGGTTTACTAAAAATCGGCGGTGATACTCATCAACGCCGGTTCATGTTATGAACCGTTGGTGAAAATTTGGGCGGTTATCACTGCCGGCTGGTAACACGAACCGACAATGATAAACCTATTATTACAGCCAGTTTGTGTTACCAACAGATAGTGATGGTCAACCCATTTGTACCGCCGGTTTATGGTACCAACCGGTGGTGAAAATCTTTTTACTAATGGTTCGTAATACGAACCGGCGGTGATGATTTATGCTGCAGCACAATAAAATTCATAACTTTTTCAAACAAAGTCGGATGAAAACAAACTTTATATCAAAGTACAACCTTGTAGTTGATGACTTTTTTATTTGCAATTGTTTAAAGTCCCATAATTCTATTTGTATAGGGTCGAGATGGCGGACTAGAGGGGGGGTGAATAGTCCTTTCTAAAATTAATCGCGCCAAAGACTACACCCCTCTGTTTAAGTTCACAAGCACCTTATAAAGATCCTAGTTAGGCAACAAAGGTGTCGGGCTAGCTAGATCTCACCTAATGAATTCTAGAGCAAGGTCACACAAACCGATGCAACTAGTACTTCAAGCACGGGGGAGCTCCTACACAACTAGTATGCAAAAGCACAAAGCCTAAGCTCACTAGCAATGCTCAATAACAAGGCAACTAATTCCAAATTAGAGAGCGTAAATTACTTAGCTACACAAACTAAGCAATGTGACTAACAATGTTACTCAAACCGAATTAGTCACGCAAGGGAGCTACTTCTATGGTACACAAGCAAGAAGGTAACTAGCAAGCTACTCAAGCTAACTAATTATAAGAGCAACAACACAAGCACAATATAAAGGAAGTAAATACAAGCTTGTGTAACGAGGATGCAAACCAATGGGAAGACAAGGATGACACAGTGATTTTTATCCTGAGATTCACATGCTTGCCAACATGCTAGTCCTCATTGAGACAAGCTCCAAGGTTGCCGCCGGTCCTCTTGCTAGTGGTGACCCGCAAGTCACACTCTCCCACATCGAGTGCTTACCACAAGCTCTAGCACTTGACCCGGTCGGACCACCTATCGCCCTTCGTGTCTCGCTCTACTAGAGTTGCTCTTCGCGGCTCCCGCGGGGTGAGCACAATCCTCCTCACAATCACTTCTCCGGAGCACCGCACAATCTTCTTTGCGTGCTTCGACGGAACCACCACCAAGCCATCTAGGAGGTGGCAACCACCAAGAGTAACAAGCACCACCAGCTTGCAACTCGATCACCTAGTGCCACTCGATGCAATCTCACAATGCAACGCATTAGAACCACTCACTCACAATGGATTCGCACTTCTCGCAAGCACAAGTGACTTAGAGGCTTCTGAAACTAAGCACACACAAGGGCAACACATCCCCAAGGTGCTCAACCTAAGCCAAGCCCGAGCACCACCTCTACTTATAGCCCCAAAGCCAAATAGAGCCATTGGAGCCAAGTAGCACAATTCTACGCGGTCACTGGACAGCAACGTGCGGGCATCGGACATAGGGTGGTGGTGCCCAATGATCGAATTGCAATGGCTATTTCAATCTAGCCGTTGGGACCCTGGCACTGGACATAGGGGGGCGGTGCACCGCCCTAGGGGTGGCGGTGCCCTCCGACAAAGTTCCCCCTCTCTGGAAAAAGTGGCGGTGCCTCACCACCAGAGTTACCGGACAGTCCGGTGACCAAAACTTTCTCTAAATTAATTTACAAAACTTCAAGATTGTAGAGCATTTCATTATATTTCCAAAAAGTCCTAGATCATCTAAATAGGAGTTTGGAGCCAAGAGTTATGCCCAAAATATGAAAGGGTGGCTGTGCTGATTTGGACACGTTGCACGGGGTGGCGCTGCACCTTGCCTAGGGTGGCGGTGCCACCGCCCTAGGCTGTCTGGTGCACACCAAAAAGGGTGGTACCACCCCTAGGAAGGGCTACGCATTGGGTACAAGTTTGGTTGTGTTTTTGACCCTCGGACAACCCAAACTTGGTCTTTTCTTCTCCTTTTCCTCTCCAACTTGATCCAAATCAACTTCTTCAACTTCTCCTTTGCAAATATGCCAACACCACCATGTGTTCACCATCTTGTGCATGTGTGTTAGCTTTTCACAAATGTTTTCCAAAGGATTAGTCACTCAAATCACCACGCCACTCGATCCTAGTAACGATGCAAAGTTAGATCACTCGAGTGGCACTAGATGATCGACATGCAAACAAGTTTGCCCCTCTTGATAGTACGGCCATCTATCCTAATTCTGGTCATAAACTTCTCTACGTACCTATGACTAGTGAAATAAAATGCCCTATAGGTTATACCTTTGCCTTGCGCATTCCATTTCATCTCCTCTGAAGTTGATGCAACACATGCACCAATCATATCACAAATAATATAATCCACTTTATATCATCACGTGACCTTGTTGGTTCATTGATCTTGACCTCACTTGCTTTTCACCATTGTCTTCATCCATTGGCGCCAAGTCTTGCTCAAGCTTCACCGCCACGCGGTCCATCGCTCCAAAAGCCTCC